GGGGGGGGTAATGACTGTTTGTCTGTCTGTCTGTCTAAGAAATTTGTATTCACAGTAATATGCGTGTACGGTGGATGGTCGAGGTAGAGGAGGAGGTGTGACTCCCTGTTTGTCAATCAACACGTATGTTCTGTGGCCCCGAACCAAACACCCTCCCCTCCCCGAAACCCCCACACTCCTAAATCCACCCCAAACACTTTACCCCTCCCCCCTCTCCCCTCATCTCCACATCCCCCCTCCTTCTCCCTTCCTCATCCTCCTTCCTTGCCCCCTCCCTCTCCACCTCACCTCCCCCCGCCACATATTTCCATCCCCATACCTACCCCAACCCCCCAACACTACCTAACTCCAACCACTTTCCCCCTCCCACGCTTACCCTTAGTCACCCTGCACCCCTCTGTATATACCATGCCCCCTCCCTTTCTTTTCCTTCCTGTGTTTTTACCATTCCTGTACAGCCCCCAAAAAAATTCACTCTGGGATAATAAAGTATCATCTCATCTTATGTCATCTTACCTTATCTCACCTCACCTCATAGCACATCACCTCATCTCACCACACCTCACCTCACTTCACCTCATCTCACCTCACCTCACCTCATCTCATCTCATCTCATCTCATCTCACCTCACCCCACCTCACCACATCTCATCTCACCTCACCTCACCTCACTTCACCTCACCTCACTCTTCTCACCTTATCTCACCTCACCTCATCTCACCTCACCTCACCTCATCTCATCTCATCTCACCTCACCTCACCTCACCTCATCTCATTTCACCACACCTCATACCTCATCTCATCTCATCTCACCTCACCTCATCTCACTCTTCTCACCTCACCTCACCTCATCTCACCTCACCTCACGTCATCTCATCTTTATCTCATCTCATCTCATCTCTTATTTATCTCATCTCGTCTCACCCCAGGTGTCCTGCCGAAATACTGCCTGGTCATCCTGATCGTTGGCGCCACAATCGCCATGTTCCTGGCCTGCATCCCCTACGACTTCTACAGGTTCCGGAAGAGGAAGAAAAAAGTTCGAGATCATCAGGAGAGGCTCTCGTTAGTCACTCGAATAGCACCGGGGCACGCTAAGGTTGCTACAGAGTTAGAGAGAGAGAGAGAGAGAGAGAGAGAGAGAGAGAGAGAGAGAGAGAGAGAGAGAGAGACAGACAGACAGACTAGTTGCATGCATTAAATAGGCAGATGGGGCGGTGGCAGTGTGATGGTGTAGAGTTGAATTGTTAGAACCTGGTCGCATATTTTAAACGCTACAGTGGACGCCAAAGAATACCAGAATATTCTCCGGGCGAACTTGGTTTCTTTCTTTCAAACCCATTGACGTATGCTCTCATTCCAGCTTACAATGCATGCCGACACCCTGCCCGTGTAAAGGTGCAATATCAAATATCTATAGCAGCCAAAACGTGAATGTTTTGCCATTACCACTCGCGACATATTTCACCCTGTGGGCCTATAAAAGCGAGTTCCCTTTTTTTTTTGTCCCTTGCCCATTTCTATGATATTGACGCCATCTGATTAGTAGAAAAATGTGCGTATGAGAGTGCCCAATAATGTTTAACGTGCAAAATT